AGGAGAATTCTTTCTGTTTTTGGGGTTTCAAGGGTGGGACAGCCCCGAAATGAGGCCCTGGGGAGGATGAGGAGGGACAGATCCAATTTCACAGAGGGAATTTGGGCACAGCCAAAATCCACGACAGGAATCCCAAATCCCATTTTTTTCCACCAGAGACCTCGATTTCCAGCAAAATCCCGATTTTTTTTTTGTGAAATTTGGGGTTTTTTTGGTAATTTTAGGATTGGCCGAAGGATTGACCAGAATTTCACCCGTTTCATCCCTTTTCCGAGAACAAGCCCGGGCTTAGGGAGCCTGAAACCCTCCAGGCACGGAGCCCAGCCCCAGAATTCCCGGGAATATTCGGAATTACAGGAAGGGATTGGTGGGAATGGCAGCAGGGCTGGACCTTGGGCAGGAAAAGGGGCAAAATTCCCATTTTCCCCCCATTTTTCCATTTCCTTCCCTGATTTTTTAAATGCTGCACTACCCAACTTTGTTATTCCCAGATTTTGCCCCAAAATTCCCATTTTCCCCCCATTTATCCATTTCATTTAATTACCTGATTTTTTAAATGCTGCACTGCCCAACTTTGTTATTCCCAGATTTTGCCCCAAAATTCCCATTTTCCCCCCATTTATCCACTTAATTTCATTCCCTGATTTTTAAATGCTGCACTACCCAACTTTGTTATTCCCAGATTTTGCCCCAAAATTCCCATTTTCCCCCCATTTTTCCATTTCCTTCCCTGATTTTTTAAATGCCGCACTACCCAACTTTGTTATTCCCAGATTTTTGCCCCAAAATTCCCATTTTCCCTTTTTTTGCCCTCCCAAGTCCCCCCTCAGGGCCTTTCCCTGCAGGATGAAGTGGGATTTTCCATGGAATTCCAGCTCTTTTTTCCCACAGGGAATTCAGGATGGAGTTTCCTCATTCCCTTCAACATTTCCCTCCATTTTTATCCCTTTTTCCCTGATCCCAAACTCCCTTTGGGGCCATTCCCTGTAGGATCATCCCATTTCCCTTGGAATTCCAGCTCTTTTTTCCACAGGGAATTCAGGATGGAGTTCCCACATTCCCTTGAACATTTCCCTCCATTTTTATCCCTTTTTTCCCTGATCCCAAACTCCCTTTGGGGCCATTCCCTGCAGGATGGAGCAGGATTTAGTATGGAATTCCAGCACAGGGAATTCAGGATGGGATCTCTTGGAGTTCCCCCATTCCCTCAAAATTTTCCCTCCATTTTTATCCCTTTTTTTTGTGATCATCCCATTTTCCATGGAATTCCAGCTCTTTTTTCCACAGGGAATTCAGGATGGAGTTCCCCCATTCCCTCGAACATTTCCCTCCATTTCCATCCCTTTTTCCCTGATCCCAACCCCCATTTGGGGCCATTCCCTGTGGGACCATCTTGTTTCCAATGGAATTCCAGCTCTTTTTCCCACAGGGAATTTGGGATGGAGTTCCCCCATTCCCTCAGACATTTCCCTCCATTTTTATCCCTTTTTTTGCCCCTTTGGGGCCGTTCCCACCAGGCCCATCCCGTTTTCCCCCAGAATTCCAACACAAGAAATTCAGGATGGAGTTCCCCCATTCCCTCAGACATTTCCCTCCATTTCCATCCCTGTTTTTGCCCCCTTGGGGCCATTCCCGCCCGTTTTCCCCCGGAATTCCAGCACAGGGAATTCAGGATGGGATGATTCAGAATTCCCCCATTCCCTCGGACATTTCCCTCCATTTTCATCCCTGTCTTTGCCCCCTTTGGGGCCGTTCCCCCCGGGCCCATCTGGAATTCCAGCACAGGGAATTCAGGATGGAGCTTCCCCATTCCCTCAAGCATTTCCCTCCATTTCCATCCTTGTTTTTGCTCCCTTGGGGCCATTCCCGCCAGGCCCATCCCGTTTTTGCCCCAGAATTCCAGCACAGGGAATTCAGGATGGGATCTCTTGGAGTTCCCCCATTCCCTCAAAATTTTCCCTCCATTTCCATCCCTGTTTTTGCCCCCTTTGGGGCCATTCCCAGCGGGCCCATCCCGTTTTCCCCCGGAATTCCAGCACAGGGAATTCAGGATGGGNATGCAAAGCTCAGCCCAGAGGCCTTGGGGGGCTTTTCCTTCTGGGGCTGCTTTTAGGGGGAGCTGGGGCTGGGATGGATCAGTGGGATTTTTATCCCCTTCCCATCCCAGATTTTTCTGGGAATGGCTGGTTCCCTTTATGAGCTTTGCTTTGTTTCTATTCCCGATTTCACCATAAACCAAAGGCAGAATCACCGACCCCGTGGGATTTTAAGGAATGGGATGGGATTACAACTTGCTTTGGGTTTTTAGGGAATGGGATGGAATAACCACTTCCTTTGGGTTTTTAGGGAATGGGATGGGAGAACAGCTTGCTTTGGGTTTTTAGGGAATGGGATAGGATGGAATAACCACTTGCTTTAGGTTTTTAGGGAATGGGAGAACAGCTTGCTTTGGGTTTTTAGGGAATGGGATGGGATGGGAGAACAGCTTCCTTTGATTTTTTAGGGAATGGGATGGGATGACCACTTCCTTTGGGTTTTTAGGGAATGGGATGGGATAACAGCTTTTTTTGGGTTTTTAGGGAATGGGGTAGGATGGGATAACCACTGGCTTCGGTTTTTTTAGGGAATGGGATTGGAGAACAGCTTTTTTTGGGTTTTTAGGGAATGGAATGGGATAACCACTTGCTTTAGGTTTTTAGGGAATGGGAGAACAGCTTCCTTTGATTTTTTAGGGAATGGGATGGGATAACCACTTGCTTTGGGTTTTTAGAGAATGGAATGGGAGAACAGCTTTTTTTTGGGTTTTTAGGGAATGGGATGGGAGAACAGCTTTTTTGGGTTTTTAGGGAATGGGATGGGATGGGATAACCACTTGCTTTGGTTTTTTAGAGAATGGGAGAACAGCTTGCTTTGGGTTTTTAGGGAATGGGATGGGATGGGAGAACAGCTTCCTTTGATTTTTTAGGGAATGGGATGGGAGAACAGCTTGCTTTGGGTTTTTAGGGAATGGGATGGGATGGGATGGGATGGGATAACCACTTGCTTTCCCCCTAGGATGTCCTCACTGGTCTCACCAGGGGTGATGCACTTTGGGGCAAGCCCAAACACCATAAATAACGTTTGATTCCCTCGGATTTCCTGGATGGAAATCCACGTTGTGCAGGGATCCACGGGACAGGGACACCACCTGAAACGACTCCATCCCACGGCCCAGCCAGGAACCCCAAATATCCCCTCCAGCAATGGGGTTCGGAGGGTTAATCCCAAAATATGCAAAGCATTTAGGTTTAATCACCCTATTAGGCCCACTACAAAGGGACTTTTTAAGTGTTACACGAAGCTTAGTGGCCACTGGTAACTCCTGCTCTGATTCCGAGCAGAACTGGAGGAGTTGCTTTATTATTATTATGATTTATTTTTTTTTTTTTTCCATTTGGATTTAGAAGATTAGGCCGGGGCGAGGCGGCTGCCCGGCTCACATGCCTGCCCTCATGCTGCCATATAGATTATCATAACTCCCTGCCTGGCTGCCTATTGAACCCTTTTAGGCTGCAGTGAAAAGCGCTGCAGGGGAGAAGAGACCTGGGGAATAAATCCATGGACGAGGTTTTCCTCTCCCATTATTGTTCCAGCTCGCAGAATGGGGCTGGGCAGGCACAAAAACCTCCCCCATGCTGGGCTGGGGGGGTTCTGTGCCATGAGGAGCTGGAAATAAACTCTAAAAATGTTCCTGGCTCGCTGCAGCACCGCTGGGGTTGGCTCAGGTTTTCCTTTTCAGGGAGTTTTCCTTGCGGAGAATCCAGGAGAGCAAAATCAAACGTTGCAGGTTGGGTGGTGGAGCCCTGGGGGTGCAGTTTGGTCTCGGTTTTAGCCACGTTTCTGAAGAAATTTGGCTTTTTTTCCCTGGCTCCTCAATCCCCACCACTGGGAGTCCTGGGATACCCAGAGGTGAAATCTTGGAGCCTGAAGCTCCAACTTTGGTGGGGAAAAAAAAAGGGGGAAAAAGCCAAATTTTGGCAACCGCTCCCTTCCTCGATCTCACCTTTGCCGACAGCTGAAGAACAAGTTCATCAAGAAGATCCCCAAGGACGCCGAGGCCTCCAACGTGCTGGTGGGGGAGGTGGAGTTCCTGGAGAAGCCCTTTGTGGCCTTCGTGAGGCTGCTCCAGGCCACCATGCTGGGCGGGGTCACCGAGGTNGATCCCAACCCCCTTTTGGGGCCGTTCCCAGTGGGCCCATCTGGAATTCCAGCACAGGGAGTTCAGGTTGGGATGATTCAGAATTCCCCCATTCCCTCAAGCATTTCCCTCCATTTCCATCCCTGTTTTTGCCCCCTTGGGGCCATTCCCGCCCGTTTTCCCCCGGAATTCCATCGGTTTTTCCCGGCAGTGTCCCCGGCGGCCGAGCGGCTCCGGTACATCCTGGGCGAGGAGGACGAGGCGCCCAACCCGACGCTGTTCACCGAGATGGACACGCTGCAGCGCGACGGCGACGACATGGAGTGGAAGGAGTCGGCCAGGTCAGGGACACAATGGGGAACGGGGAAAAATCCCAAAAATCCCATCCCAAAATGTCCCCGCGGGATAACGGGGTCAGGGAAGGGGGGTGGGATTTGGGGGGGTCAGAAAAGGGCATTTCCGAATGGGGGAAATGGGGGAAAATGGGGTTTTGGAAATGGAATATCAGGGAATGAGAGTTGGATTTAAGGGGGTTAGAAAATGGCATTTCTGAATGGGGGAAATGCTGGGAAAATGGGATTTTGAAAATGGAATATCAGGGAATGAGCACTGGGAAAAAAGGACATTCCTGAATTGGGGACATGCTGGGAAAATGGGATTTGGAAAATGGAATATCAGGGAATGAGAGTTGGACTTAAGGGGGTTAGAAAAGGGCATTTCTGAATGGGGGAAATGGGGCTTTGAAAATGGAACATCAGAGTATGGACATTGTTGATAAGGGTGTTAGAAAATGGCATTTCTGAATTGAGAATATGCAGGAAAAATGGGATTTTGTAAATGGAATATCAGGGAATGAGAGTTGGATTTAAGGGGGTTAGAAAAGGACATTTCTGAATGGGATAAAATGCTGGAAAAATGAGATTTTGGGAGGGTTTGAAAATGGAATCCTCGGCAAAGGAATCCCAGGGTGCTGATGGTGGCACAAAGGCACTGCCGGAGCTGTGCCCCGATCCCACAGGGATTCCTGTCCCAATCCCACCCAATCCCACCGGGATTCCTGCCCCAATCCCACCCTCCAGAATGACCCAAATTCCTTGGAAAACGGGGCAGGAGGCAGAGGAGCAGCGCCCTGATCGGCTTTGGGGGAGCGGCAGTGGCGGCGCTGGGCGGGGAGTTTGAATTCCATCCCGGGAAAGAGGAAGGGCTGGAGATCGGGATTCTCCGAAAAATCAGGGATGGGAGGTGTGGGGTGGGGCTCTGTCGGGGCTTTTCCTCCACCCCAATGCTCCCAAATCCCACAGGAGCGATTTGAGGATGGGGAAATCCATGGATTTGGGTTTCCTGGTGGGATTGGGAGCATTCCCTCCATCCCACAGCTCCCAAACCTCACAGGAGCAATTTAAGGAGGGCAAAATCCATGGATTTGGGTTTCCAGGTGGGATTGGGAGCTTTTCCTTTCCCCCACAGCTCCCAGATCCCACAGATACGATTTGAAGATGGATGAATCCATGGATTTGGGTTTCCTGCTGGGATTGGGAGATTTCCTCCACCCCACAGCTCCCAAATCCCACAGATACGATTTGAAGATGGATAAATCCATGGATTTGGGTTTCCTGGTGGGATTTGGAGCATTCCCTCCATCCCACAGCTCCCAGATCCCACAGATACAATTTGAAGATGGGTAAATCCATGGATTTGGGTTTCCTGCTGGGACTGGGAGCTTTTCCTCCATCCCACAGCTCCCAAATCCCACAGATACCATTTGAGGATGGATAAATCCATGGATTTGGGTTTCCTGATGGAATTTTTAGTGTTCCCTCCACCCCACAGCTCCCAGATCCCACAGATACAATTTGTTGAGGGCAAAATCCATGGATTTGGGTTTCCTGGTGGGATTGGGAACTTTTCCTTTCCCCCACAGCTCCCAGACCTCTCAAGAGCAATTTGTTGAGGGCAAAATCCATGGATTTGGGTTTCCTGGTGGGATTGGGAACTTTTCCTCCACCCCACAGCTCCCAGATCCCACAGATACAATTTGAGGAGGGATAAATCCATGGATTTGGGTTTCCTGGTGGAATTTTTAGTATTCCCTCCATCCCACAGATACGATTTGAAGATGGATAAATCCATGGATTTGGGTTTCCTGGTGGGATTGGGAGCTTTTCCTCCACCCCACAGCTCCCAAACCTCACAGGAGCAATTTAAGGAGGGCAAAATCCATGGATTTGAGTTTCCTGGTTGGACTGGGAGTTCTTCCTCCACCCCACAGCTCCCAGATCCCACAGATATGATTTGAAGATGGTTGAATCCATGGATTTGGGTTTCCTGGTGGGATTTGGAGCATTCCCTCCCCTCCACAACCCTACTGGCAGCACTTTTGGGAACGCTCCCCCACATCCTCCCTTCCCACCCTGGGTAATGAGCCAGAACTCTGTGGGATGAATCAACCCAAGCAGGGGAACTCCCCGGGAAGGAGAATCCATTCCCAGCTCCTCCCCATCCCGCTCCCGTTGCAGGTGGATCAAGTTCGAGGAGAAGGTGGAGGAGGGCGGTGAGAGGTGGAGCAAACCCCACGTGTCCACGCTGTCCCTGCACAGCCTCTTCGAGCTGCGCACGTGTCTCCAGACAGGAACGGTGCTCCTGGACCTCGACGGATACTCCTTGCCCCAAATTATCGGTAGGAGCCCCTGGAGGGGTTTTTTTTTTCCCCCATGTCCTAAAATGGTGGGAATGGATTTAAATTCTTTTTTTTTTTTTTTTTTTTGTTTTTTTTTTTTTTTTTTTTTTTTTTTTCCCTGAATTTGTGCAGGAATGAGCAAAAGGGAGGAGTTGGGAGCCGTCAGCTGCTCCCAGAAATGTTGTGTTGAGGTTTTGGGGGGTCTGGGGGGTCTCTGTTGAAGCAGCAGATTCTGGGGGGGTTTGGGGGTCACCCTTGGGTCACCATGGATGGGTGTGGGTGGGTGATGTCATCGAGGAGCAGATTGAGGACATTTTGGGGAGGTTTTGGGGGTCTTGGGTGTTGCAGATGATGTCATCAAGAAGCAGATCAAGGATGGGACATTTTGGGGATGTTCTTGGGGTCACCATGGCCGTGTTTTGCAGACAATGTCAATGAGAAGCAGATCAAGAATGAGACATTTTGGGGACATTTTGGGGACATTTTGGGGAGATTCTGGGGAGGTTTTGGGGGTCACCATGGCCGTGTGTGCTGTAGACAATGTCATTGAGAAGCAGATTGAGGATGGGATACTTTGGAGAGGTTTTGGAGAGGTTTTGGGGAGGTTTTGGGGAGGTTTTTGGGGTCACCATGGCTGTGTGTGTTGTAGACAGTGTCATTGAGAAGCAGATTGAGGACAGGACATTTTGGGAACATTTTGGGGATGTTCTTGGGGTCACCATGGCCACGTATTGTAGATTGAGGACAGGATATTTTGGGGAGGTTTTGGGGACATTTTGGGGATGTTCTTGGGGTCACCATGGCTGTGTTTTGCAGACAATGTCATTGAGAAGCAGATCAAGGATGGGATATTTTGGGGATATTTTGGGGAGGTTTTGGGGATGTTTTTGGGGTCACCATGTTTTGCAGACCATGTCATCTAGAAGCAGATCAAGGACAGGACATTTTGGGGACGTTTTGGGGATGTTTGGGGTTTTTTTTGGGGTCACCATGGCCGTGTTTTGCAGACCATGTCATCAGGAAGCAGATCGAGGACAGGACATTTTGGGGACATTTTGGGGATGTTTGGGCATGTTTTTGGGGTTATCATGGCCGCGTTTTGCAGACGATGTCATCGAGAAGCAGATCAAGGATGGGATATTTTGGGGACATTTTGGGGATGTTTTGGGATGTTCTTGGGGTCACCATGGCCGTGTTTTGCAGACGATGTCATTGAGAAGCAGATCGAGGACAGGACATTTTGGGGACATTTTGGGGATGTTCTTGGGGTCACCATGGCCACGTATTGTAGATTGAGGATAGGATATTTTGGGGAGGTTTTGGGGACATTTTGGGGACATTTTGGGGATGTTTGGGGAGGTTTTTGGGGTCACCACGGCCGCGTTTTGCAGACGATGTCATCGAGAAGCAGATCGAGGACGGGCTGCTGAAGCCGGAGCTGCGGGAGAAGCTCAGCTTCGTCCTCCTGNAAAACGGGGAGAAATGGGGGAAGAAATGGAAACAACTCCAGGCAGGGTTTGGGGTTTTTATTTCCCGGCATTGTGGTGGGAAGGGGAAAAGATTCTTGGGGTTTTTTTTGTGATTTTTCCCTCAGAAAAGCAACTTTGGGGCTTGTAAAAGTGCAGAGGACTAAACCTCATTCCAAAAATCAACGGGGCAGCTCCTGCAGCTCCTCGGGGGAAAAGTCAATTTTTGGAAGGGTCAGAAGAATCCCAAACCTGGGGATTTTGAGAAAATTTATCCCATGGGTTGTACATCCTGCTCTCCTGGGGTTTGGGGCAGTGGGGGCTTGTCTGGGGCAGGAAAATGCAGGGAAAAGCTGTGGAGAACCCACAGGAAAATCTAGAAAAAGCTGTGGAAAATCGACAGGAAAATGCAGGGAAAAACTTTGGAAAATCCACAGGAAAATGCAGGGAAAAGCTTTGGAAAATCCACAGGAAAATGCAGGGAAAAGCTGTGGAAAATCGACAGGAAAATGCAGGGAAAAACTGAGGAGAATGCACAGGAATATTCAGGGAAAAGCTGTGGAGAACTCAGAGGAAAATGCAGGGAAAAACTTTGGAAAATCGACAGGAAAATGCAGGGAAAAACTTCGGAAAATCCACAGGAAAATTCAGGAAAAGCTGTTGAGAACTCAGAGGAAAATGCAGGGAAAAGCTTTGGAAAATCCACAGGAAAATCTAGAAAAAGCTGTGGGAAATCGACAGGAAAATGCAGGGAAAAACTTTGGAGAACTCAGAGGAAAATGCAGGAAAAGCTTTGGAAAATCCACAGGAAAATGCAGGGAAAGCTTTGGAAAATCCACAGGAAAATGCAGGGAAAAGCTGTGGAAAACTCAGAGGAAAATGCAGGAAAAGCTTTGGAAAATCCACAGGAAAATGCAGGAAAAACTTTGGAAAATCCACAGGAAAATTCAGGAAAAGCTTTGGAAAATCCACAGGAAAATCCGCAGGGAAAAACTTTGGATCCGGAGCTGATTTTGGGGCGTTTTTTGGGTTTTTGCCACTTTCCCCCTCTCCAACCAACACCTGCAGCTCCCTGGGGTTTC